GGTTTAGGGTTTAGGGGGCTTGGGGTTTACTTTTACTAGTGATAGCGCCATTACTATTACTGTTACTATTATCGCTGTTACTGTTACTATTGCTATTACTATTACTAATATTTTTTCTATTGGAATTACGATTGCTAGTAGGATTTAGTGCTTAGGACTTTGGAGTTCAGAGTCCAGGGATCGCAAAGCACTAAAGAGCAGCACCGCACCGATCCCTAAAGCCCTTTCAAGGAAAGACCCCACGGCTGAAGTCCTGAAGCCACGTACCCTCAGACCCCTAGTCTTCCCCTGTGTAAGGATGCGACCCCATATAGATTCCCTAAAAGGGAGTTATATGGGGATTTATTTAGGGGAGTGTTTTTAGGGGCTATTACGAGGATACTAGGAGTTTGGACTATGGCTCACATAGGCCCAGCTCTTGAAGACAACCCTCAGATCGTAGGGCCGCCGCAGCCCTACACCCCAAACCTTGGGTACTGCCCCCACTCTGCAAGATTTGGATAATGTTCATAAGATAGTTATACATAAGCTTAATATGACTTCTAATATAGACTGTTACAGGCGGGGGGGGGGGGCAGTGCCCAACCTAAACCCCTCTGCAAGCCCAGGACGTTGGAGCTCTGCAATATGAAGGCAAGGTGACCGCATTTGTGCTGATTTGTCCTTTGGGTTTATCTTACTAGTTTTCTATAGGGAATACGGGAATATAGTCTATCGGGATTATATCTGCACTATTTTCATTCTCTTATTATTTTTATGAACCAATAAGTCTTATAGGGTCTAGGGTCCCCCCACCATCAACCCTGAACCTATCTAAGGTGATGCCTTGTTTTGCCGGTAGAGGTCCCCACAAGTAATTGGCGTTACTGGGGGTTCAGGTTTGCAAGCCCTCACCCCATGTTTCGTCTGGGAAGGCTGGTAGGGTTCGGGTTTAGAGTTTAGGGGTGCAACTCTTAACCATGACCATCCCAAATTCTTCCCTCGCGCTAACTAAACCGAATTTGGCAGTTCCTGAGCTCAACGTCGTACACCCTCAGCTCGATAGTAATCATTCCTAGTTAAGTGGCAGATAGAAACCCTAAACCCGAAGCCCTAAACCATAAACCCTAAACCATATAGGTAGAACGCATAAACTTGTAGGTACTGGGGTTACGGGTAAGCCCTAACCTACAAGAAGGTCTTCGTGGACACAGACGATGATGTTCGCCTGGCTCGGCGCATCAAGCGCGATACTGTGGAGCGGGGCAGGGACGTTCCCCGCAAGGATTTTACTGGATTGATCATTTACGATTCAGGACCTAGGCTTAAAAGGGTGTAGACAGTTTCTAGAGTTCAGGACTTAGAGCTCAGGCTTAAGGGTTGATGTGAGAGTTCAAGACGGTCCAGGTACTTGACGGTACTGGGATCATAATAAGGCGGTCATCACGAGGGCCAGGTTGTCCTGTGATAAGTTCGAGAGACCCAATGTGCGTAGTGTTTGCAAGGGGGATACACTTGTGAGCTGTAGTCTAGACTCCATAAAGGGTGTATATACAGGGGATTATATAGGGGAGTATCTTAGGGTATGGAGGGGGATACTCGGAGTTTAGATTATGGCTCATGTGAAGAATCTGAACTTACCTCGAGACTTTGAGGTCGAGGGCGTCATTCGACAATACACGCGCTTCGTGAAGCCGTCCTTTGAGAGGTCCCTTGAGCCATTTTTGAGGCGAAATAGGTTTTCTAAGCCCTGGACCCTAAAGCCTTATGGGTCTAGGGGTTAGGGCTTCAGGTTGTAGTTCTTGCCTAAGGGTTCAGGATGCAGGCTGCATGAATTGGACTTTGGATGTTTCACATTTAAGTTGTACTTGGAGTTTAGTTGCTCACAAAACGACATTTTCCAGGATCCAGATAACGATCATGACCTAAGGCTCCTACGGGGAGCGCGCATGGGGATCTTAATGTTTGACGTACCAGATAAGCTGAGCTCTTTTTGGGGCTGGGGCTGTAGATTTAGGGCGAGTTTCGGGTTTAGTTTTGTCCTACCAAGGCCCTCCGGTGTAGTACTTTTTTTCTGAAAGTCCTCATAAGAATCCTAGCCAAACAACAATACCAAACCCAAAAGGAAACTACATTGGCGGGACCAGGTAGTAAGTAGGTTAGTAACCCCGATGCCGCAAATCATAACCCCAGTTATCCCCCTTTAAAAACCAACCCAAGTAGGGTGTCCTGGGAATCATCGAACCAGCCTCAGCTTTTTTGTGGGGATGGGCAGACACGGGGCGGCCACGTCGTCAAAACGCAAGGGGCATGAAAGGCCTTTCTGGGAAGTAGGGTGGGGATAGAAGTTGGCTAACAAAGGGTTTTTCATGAGGTAAGAAACCCTAAGCCCTAAAACCTCCCCAAAACCCTAAAACCTAAAACCCTCAGCAAAACCCTAAACCCCTAAAACCCTAAACCCCTGAAAACCCCCCCCAACCCAACACCCTAAAACCCTAAACCCCTGCCTTCAAGTGTCCTGGAACCGGCCTTTGGGATGACTTTGGGTTTCGGGGCTCGGGGATGGACTTGTGGTGGAGGGCTCCCTTAGCGTGGCTCAGGGCATAAGTCCGGGTGTAGGGATTTAGGGTTTAGGGTGGGCTCTAAGGGTATAAGTTAGGTGGACCCCCCACCAGGGTGTCTTTGTGGGGAAATACCCTCCTAGATCCAAGCTAGATTCCTTCTAGGGCTGCTGAAACGCACTGGACACTCAGTGTGCTGCACTTGCTTGGCTCGGGTGTTTAATATGCACATTTGCTGGTCGGGTTTAGGGTTTAGAGTTTAGGTTTATCCCACAGGCAGATTCTTACGATTCTGTGATCCCAAGGAAAATCTTGCAACCAAATTCTGTCCTGAAGTTGCAGATTGACCCTTCGTTCCCCTCGATCCCTGCAGCAAAATCCACAACCCTTGGTACCCGCGAAATGCGAAACCTGAAACGTCTTCTTTGACCAGGCAGCTGAAAGGGGGGGCAGGGGGCCTCCCAAAATCAGGGGTGATTTCATGGGCCTTAGAAATACAGGGGACTGTATATAGTGAGTTGCCCTTATGTATGGGAACTTCCTTATCAAAGGTCGAAGCACAGCAGCTGGTTTGGGAGACGATTCGTGTTGAAGCTGTAGGTGATTTCATTCAAGATTGCATGAGACAGCTTCCAGCCAGTTGTGGCCCCATGCAAGACAACTAGGTTGCAATCCTGAAGCAAAGTCCAACTTCAAGCCCTAAGATACACTGAGCCCAAGCCTTACATGTAGGTACATCCTCCCCAGCAAGAACAATGCCGACATCATCATCCCTTGGCGGGACCAACGGGGGGAAGAGAGGGCAATTTTTGGGTTTAGGGCTCAGTGTTCAGGGTTTAGGGAGCGCCGGGGCTTGCCGTGTCTGGAGCGGGGGCCTATGGGCCGTGAGCAGGATTCCCTCCTGATAGCCCATACCGGGGTAGGGAACGACGGAATGAATTTAGGGCTTAGTGTTTAAGGGGAACGACAGAATAAATCGTTGGCCTTGGAAGACTGGTCTACCAGTCCCTTGAGTCATTTTTCGTATCTCGTGCAAAGCCCAAAACTGTCTAAAGCTCGAAACCCTAAGTCTTTCAACCAGAAGCCTACACTAGGACGAGTAGGGTTTTGCTATGGTTGTCACAGAGTGTATAGAGGGTCCCGTACAAATGCTGGTGAGTGTATATTTTGGGGTGTCCAAGTGGAGAGACAGTGAAGACGGACCATGGGTCAGGTACCGCTCATAGACTGCAGGGCCCACACTTTCCCTGAGCCTTAAACACCTTGCTATTCATGTTACTAATCGACTTCGCACAAGGAAGAGAACTCAACGTTGGAGGGGGTTCCCTAAGTTGCGGGAGGGGGTAGTGTCTATTCCCATGAGTATGTGTGTAGAAAATATATACAGAGTGTCAGGACCCCTTAGGAAATAGGATGTGAGGTGTCAGTTGTTTCGATTGCAGGGTTCAGGAAGGGGCCCGGGGTAAGGCTGTCATGTCACCAAACCCTAAGCCCCACAGAAGCCCCTAAACCTCACTTGAGTAGTTTCCAAGGTTAGGGTCCCGTTTTGGGATCCCTAAATATTAGCTGCCGTAATATAAACCCTAAGCCCTAAACCCCTACAGAAACCCCTGAACCCACACTTCAAGGAGAACAACGATGTAGCGGTAGACCTCATCACGCAGAATATTCGCTCCAAACTAGGCATGCACGAGTCTCGGCCTCGACAGAGCGAGGGACTGGTTTCTAGGATTTGGGGTTTCGGGCTGAGGGTTTAGGATTTAGGGTTGGGCTTTGGGGTTTTGGGTGTAGGGTTTAGGGTTCGGGGCTTTCGGGTTTGGGGGACTAAAGCCTAAACCCTAAAACCCTAAAACCTGAAAAAATACTAAACCATAAACCCTCGGCTTCCGGGTATCTAACTTGCATGGTGCGTGGTACTTTTGGGGTGTGGCAGGTTATAGCTGTTGGGGTTTGAGGCTTTTCTACTGGGAGTTTAGACTATAGTTCAAATAAGGCCTGACAGTGTGCTAAAGCATTTTCCTTTGGGGGGGAATACTGTAACCCTAACAAGACGGAGCAACAATAAGTTCTGCTTTCGGTTGCAGTGTGTTTGAAATTCAACCCGGATCGTAACTACTTGGTTCGACAACCACAAACGGTGCGTAATGTAGTATCCATAAATAATGGGCAGACCCCAATCTAGATCCCAATATACCAGAATCCTTGTTTTGGGGCTCACCCCAAAAAGAGCCCATAAGGGGATTACATAGGGGAGTATGATAGGGATTATTAATGGGGATGGTAGGAGTTTAGACTATAGCTCATATGGGTAGTTCCCAAAATTAGGGTCCCATTTTGGTACCCGTATATATATATACATATATATATATATGCGGTGCTATAATATATTCTGTTACCAAAAGGGGCCCATAATTTTGAAAACAAGCCACATGCCTGAGTGAAAGATCATGTGAAGACGTCAGACCCGTGCAGACTCCGAGTGCCCAGAAGACTCTGTCAGGGATGCTTTAGGATGAGCCCGAGCACAGTAATAGTTTCAGGGTTTGGGATTTAGGGGTTTGAGGTTTAGGGTTTAAGGGTTTAGGGGTGTAGGGTTTCGAATATGTACCTAGACCCCTCCATCCACCCAATGTATACCCTAAATTTCCGCTATTGGGGATTGTATGCCCCTACTTACGGGTACTGGGCGGCTCTTGGTAAGGGCCTTGACACAATTGCAACTGTCCCCAGTGATTAGATTTTCGTGGTCTAAAATAAGCGATGCTCCGCAGTTTGGCGGTTAGGGTCCCGCTTAAGTAGATAGAATATGTAGTATATGGGGATCTTACAATAATATACCCAAAGCCATATTCTATTTCCTTTAAGGGGGACTATAGGGGGTTTTGGGCTTAGGGTTGAAGCCTTACGGCCATGCAGGCAGACCGACGCCTGGAGATGCCCCGAAAAAAGGCTTCTTTGGTTTTTGTGTACTGAAAGTCAGCCCATCACCAGCTAAGATTATAGTCCCCTTAAGAATATGGGGTACATGGGGCTCTGATTATAATATACCAAAAGCCTTAGTCCATCTACTTAAGGGGGACTATAATTCTTGGGAGGGTTTCAGGGCCGATAGAGGCTGGGTTGTTGCCTGCGTCTTTCAGGTTTCCGCAAAGCGTGCTTCTGCTGTATAGTTGGAGACTCTACAGTCTACCAGCCGTATGTTCTACGCACCCATCTACCCATCTACTGTCTACCAACCAGAGATGTATTAGTGTCATTAGATCCCATCACTTAAGAAGACTCTTTCCCATCAAGCAGAAAAACCCACTGCTTCAAGGACCTCCGCCGCATTTACCCGAATCTCCACGTGATGCCAGCTACGATGCAGACGCTTGGTTAAGAGCTTGCGGCTTGTAAGCTTGTGTTTTCCTTGGACGTTCTGGGGCGTTCATAAGAAGTGCAGGCATCGGGATGGCCATGAGTGCAGTGCATTTCGGGACAAACATCAGAGTTAAGCTTGCAGGAGAGTGGGTGTCGTGTAGGGTTCAACTTTTTGGTTCTTAGACTGGGGGAAGGGATAAATGCAGCCATGTCCCTCCCATATGTGTTGTCCATGTCATGCAGTTTCCTCAGCAACAGCCACTAGCAACCCGCAAGTTATGTAGTGCTGTGTAAAGAATAACGCACGACCTCACACGGCCACGACTGAAATGATGGCTTTATATGGAAAACGGGCCCGCGTCGGCTCAACTTCAGGTTGAAATTTTTCTAAGGTTGGAACTATGGGCCCCCAGTATGGGCCCTCAATCCTGGGCTCCTTCGATACCTACTATATACCTTCCAAAACCCTGTAAGCCAACTTAAGAGCCCATAGCTAGGACCCAGGGAATAGTTTCAGGAACACAAGAGCGGCCCAGGCAGAGGGACCATAGGACCTTTCAAGAATACAAGGGCCAGATATTGAGTTGGCAGAAGTAAGCTGAAATGTTGCCCAGTTGGTATTTGGTATCTTAGGCACTAGGAGATCAGACACAAATGCTCCTAGAGACTAGAACCCAATCAGTATGGACCAACCACCAACCTTACTGTCCCCAAAATACCGCAAACCCTCAGCCCTACTTCTGCCCTGGAAAACCCTGAGCCCTGCTTCTGCTCCAAAATCCTAAACTGCGTTGAAAAGGTTCTGCTGCGGATCGTTATCTACTCAAGAGCTATACTGTTTAGGGTTTAGGGTTAAAAATGAATACATCCAGCATTACAGTTTCTTACTAGGTGGGGACAGGACCCAAGAGAAACAGCTACACATCAGCAGGGGTCCAATGTCAGGTAATTGAAGTGACGTTTCCAGTTTTTAGGAGGATTTCGGTAACCTCAACCCCCAACAATAAGGAGCCTGTCCGGGCCGGCACTACCAAAATCCTCTCATTCTGCCATGGGTGTTGTAGCAGATGCGGGAAGAGGGGTAGCTTGGTATATATGGTAGTTTCCGTAAATAGTGGGACCTTGACTTCAAAATCCCAAGGAACAAATCGAGTCCACGAAATGGAAGTGACCATTTGGTTCTCCATTAGGGGGGCACCCGCAAACTCAAACCCTAAATGATTTTCGTAGTTGATTATTTGGCCTGCAAATCCACATGAGCTACTGTCAACATGACGGTTTTCAAGGGACCATATGTATATTGCTCCCTCTAATGGAGAAGAAAATGGAAAAGACAAATGAACATGAGCTGGGATGATCTAGGGGGTATGGGGTTTGTGCGAGCTACAGTCAACACTAGGGCTACCAATCGGGCCATGAAGAGTGGATATAAAGGTCCCTTGGCTAGTTCAATATAGTCAGCACAGTCCCTACCATATTAACTGTAGCTTACAACCCCTCAGAAGCCAACCCCAAACCCTGAGTCATTCCCCCTCACAGTAGCTGTCCGTAAGGTGTTTTACTGGTGTTCTACTACCTCTTGTGGTAATTAATTCTTATTGTTAGGGAGAACTCCCTAACCTAGTCCCTCGAGAAAACTCTGGCATCTTGGATCCTAAGTCCCATAAACCAGAGACAGCACTACCAAGACGGATGCAGAAAGCAGCGAAGGACACGCGGGATGCACACAAAGATCCGCTCCCGGGCGACGCCGCGTCAGGAGTTCGTGCTTTGCCTACGCGACTGCTGTGTTCTGGGCCACTGTTTTTAGGGTTTAGGATGAAGGGTTTCAGTATTTTGGGCTTCGGGTTTCCAGATTAGGATTCAGGGATTCAGGGCTTAGGGTTTCAGGGTATAAGTTGGGTCCTGCCCCCGCCCAGCAAAACTTGGATAATATTTATATTATGGTTATATATAGCCCTTCGTATTACCCCTACTATCGGCTTGGCAATTTGAAGCGACCTCACCCGACCTCACCCAAAATGGTGGTTTATGTAGGGAATAATATCAAAATGTCCTTAAGTTGGGAATTGAAGTTATTCCAAATTATCCTGTATAGGCTGTTGCTGGGTGGGGGCAGGACCCAAGGAATTAGGGAGGATTTCAAGGTTCAGGTGCAGGCCAGAGGCCTTGGTTTAGGGATTAGGGATTAGGGCTTTGGGATTTATAGTCCCCCTTAAGCAGATAGAATATGGTTTTGGGTAGATTATAATGGTAAGATCCCCATGTACCCCATATTCTATCTACTTAAGGGGGACTATACGTTTTAGGGCTGAGGTTCAAGTCTAGTGCGCGTCAGATCTAGCTATGCGATGGTTGGTAGTTCCTGGCCTTATCGTAGGCACGGGGTTTAGGGCCTAGGGTTTAGGGTGTAGGCGTCCCGTTTTTATAGATCTTTCATGATGGTCTCCTTGCTAGATGGGCAGCGAGCATAGATGGCAGATGTGCACCCTTAGATGTTTAGAAGCTTGTTTTGTAACTGTACTGTATCCCCTAAACCCCAAATCTCACATGCTGGGTTGGCAAGATCATGGCGTTATTCAGGCTCCTCGCAGACCATGGCCCCTAAAATTTAGGCTATTGAGAAAGGGGCCACGCGTTTGACAACCACCAAATCCGTCACTATGCATTTGCCCTGTGACCCCTAAACCCTAAACCGTGACTAAAGCCAAACGACAGACCAAGGTGTTCTATGCAGACCGACTGATTCGGCTAGTTGTGGAGCAGGCAACTGGCAAACTTGCACGTGTAGACCGCTAGATGCACACCCTTCAACTCCCTTCCACGGACTACACCCTGAACCCCTAAACCGCCAAACCCTAAACGCCCAAAACCCTAAACCTACCTGAAATATTGAAAGCCCTACGGCCTCAGTCAACCCCTGCAAGCCCTATAACCCCTAGAACTCAAACCTTCAATCCAAAACCTTTCACCCCGTATAGTCCGCCTTAAGTAGATGGAATATAGCTTTGGGTATATCATAAAAGGATCCCCATATACCCCGTACTCTATCTTCTTAAGGGGGACTATAATTTTGAAACTCTTCAGTCAAAGCCTCAAGCAACACTCCGTAGACGGCGTGTCCCAAAATCCTTCTGAACTTATTGCTTGCGTTATACGATGAAGGCCCCAGAATGCAGGCAATCTTGAATTCAGTGTGACTGTCTGTCCAGCGTCTTTTGTTCCATCTAGTTCTCCAGTAGGGGTCAAACCCCTATATACCTCCCTATTCTCCTGTAAATGGTTAGGCAATTAGTACAGTTCAGCATTCAAGTGCTCTGGCTGTAAAGCTCATAAGTCTTTGAAAGGTTTATTTGCATGTCGCGTGCTTACGAGACACTTCGAGCCAATTTGTATCTGGGTTAGGCCGCCACCCAGTAGTGGTACCAGGGATAAGCACAAACACTAATGCAGTTAGCAACACTATAAGTGGCAGGGGTGTCTAATCAAACCCAAACTCAGGACCCCGACCCTGAGAACCTCGAAAGGGCCCTACATTGTGCGCCTGAAGCTCCTGAAAGACCCACAGTTCCCCTTACGGTTTGAGGTTCTCCCGTCACAAGCGCCATAAAGTCCTCAAACAACCCCATATACTTGGAGGGACGTTCGTAGCCCATGATACCCCTAGTTACCCCCCTTACTGGCCTACTTACGTAGTCCCCCTGGCCCTCCAACCTTAAACACTAAATCACACAGTACTTTTCATATTCTTTTCCGTTATCATGTAAAAAAAAAAACATATTTCTAGGCAGTGCCCCCGTTACCCCACGGTGCTGCCAAGCTGACGCCTTCTCAAAGGGAGTAATGGGACCCCCCGAGAATGGAGTAGGAACATGATAGGAAAATGAAGAACCCTAAACCCTAAACCCTGATAGGCATATCCCTTTCATATTCCCAGGTTCCCTCCTCTGGGGTTCCCCATTTACTCCCCTTACTTCTGCCAGGCGCTTGGTTACCTGCCTTTTGCGGAGTCCGAGGTTACCACGCCTGTAGCTAGGCGCATGTTGTTGGGGAAAGAAATGGTTTTGGGTAAGGGTGTTGGTGTCTAAAGGACTGGAAACGAAACCTTTTAGTAAACATCTTGAAAATGCAATATAGTTTGGCTTTGGCTGTTTTGTCGCATTGCGAGGTGAAGTAAATCTCGGACTGGTATGTTGGCACTGAGGCCCAAAAGCTTAAACCCTAAACCCTGAGCCCTAAATCCTAAACTGGGTGTCCGAAGCGGGAGGGTGACACGGCTTGGGCTCAACGTAAGGCTCTTGGACATTCATATTCAGATCACGCACCTTAGCCCCCCAAACCCAAACCTCCCCCCTCAAAGTCAGAAAGTTTAGGATTTTGGCCTTAGGGTTAACCTTAAACCCCTAAACCCTAAACCCCCCCAACCTTAAGCCTTAGGGTTAACCTTAAACCCCTAAACCCTAAACCCCCCAACCTTAAGAGCCGCAGGGTGAGATTTGCTGTTTTACGGCTCTTTACCTCCCTTCATAAAACGGGGCTTTCGTAAAAATTGGTGGGTTTCCCTAAGGGTCCATGTACCCAATAATTGGGTACTTAGGGCGAGGCACGCTGGTATTT